TAGTTGTGTTTTTTGTTGCAGAGTCTGCTTTCTTTCATGTAATATTTGCTTAAGGTTATTGCAAATATGTTTCTTGGAAACTGTTTTATGTCTGTGTTATCTTTCAAATTCTGGAAAATTTCGTGCTACCCAGGTTGCATAAGATGGTATGTTCTTTGGTTCTTTTGGGGAGACAACATCAAATCTTAGCTGACTCCCTGATATCTCCACATTTTGGATGTGGATGTTTGAAGAGCAGCTGTGAACGCAACTGTTTCAAAGATTCACCATGGAAATTTAAGAAAAAATAAAAATCTGTCCTAATAGATTGTAATGAACAATCTGCTGTTTATTTAATTTGATGTTGATAAGTTAGCTTAATTTCTTAGCTGTAAGCGTCCAAGAAGATGTAAATCATTTTGAATGAGTAGAATTGTTTGGAAGTTACACTTCTAAATATTTCTATAGGTGACTGTGTTTTTTTCCAGTGATTTTCTTCTACAGATGTAGTCATGAAGTGTAGGTAAGGTAAAACATTTTAAGATTTCACATGGCTTTTTATTTTGAGAAATGCTGAGTTTGGTGAGTTGTAATAGGGATGATACTGACCTAAATAGAGTAACTGACTACATTGCTGGGGTGATACGTCAGGATCTTCACTGCTCTTAAAGTACATCAGAATTCTCCTCAGCATGTGTTTGTCAGAAAGCTTTGAGAACAATGCTGGGTCTTCCAGACTTCCAGAAACTTATCTGGGAACCCTCACTTGGTATTTGTGGTTTCATCCTCCAAAGGAGCAAACAGAATTTCTGCTCAGAACATATTGGCCTTGACTTTTGGCAGTGCTTTATGTTTGGGACACACCTCAATTAGCTCACCTCTGGAGCTTTCTGAGGAAATGGGGTGAGAGAGGAGAAAAAAAGGCTAATTGTTTTTCTTCTCATAGGCAAAATATTTTTTTTTTCTTTACACACAGAAAAAGAGATGCTGGAAATTTCTATTTTTTTAGAAAAATCTTAAGTGGTTGAATTTTTACTCCATATTGGAACTGGATTGTCTTCAATGTAAAGTATTTTCCAATGAGTTCCAACTGTCTGTAAGCTTAGAATGGCTGGGAAAAGCTAGGTTACATGTCATATGTATTCATAAGATCGGTTACTGCTGTTTTCTGTTAAACGACATCCTTCAAATGTTAAAATACATCAAGAAAAGAAATGATTTACTACACAGCTGATCACACTGATTTGCCAGGTATGATCACACTTGTTTTTTGTTGCATGGCAAGATAACACAGATGTGTACTAATTCTAATGTGTGTAGCACGATGTTACTCTGCATGATGCACAACATGAGGCTCAGGCATTCCAAGAGGCACATGATGATATTTTAATGGGAAAAAACTTAATTGCCAACTGAATTATGAACATAGCTTTCCCTAGAAATATGACTGTATTGAGTACAGTTCAGGAAACTCCAATCCTTAGTGTATTTTTATAGGACAATCCGGTGCAGTTGTGACAAGCCTAAAGTCAAAGATTCCGTCTGCTTGATGTTAGCGTGGGAAGATCTGCGTGATTTCCTGCCATCTATAGCTTCAGTTCTTCAGATTCATCCTTATTGCAGCTGAGCAATATTATTCTGTGCTAATATTGCTCATATACTACATAAAGAGCCTCTAATACAGCCTTAGTAGAAACAGGCTTTGTGTTTGCATTAGTCAGGTGATGTATAGCGTCTTTATTCATAACGTGCCAATGTAAGGTGAGGGATGCATAAACTAGTCTGCTCTTGTACTGAAGAACAATTGTCACCATTCTTATTGTCCCTGCCATGGGTAAAGAAACGTACAGATTTGACTTGAGCAATAAGGAATAAATTTTGAATGTTAAGCATGGTATTCTATGGTACAAATTAAAAAGCGAGGGATAAAAAGTAATAAATTGTTAATGGGAGGGCAATTACTGTGGGAAGCTTCTCTAGAAACTGGAAAAAATGGCTTGTGGGTGATTCTTCTGTTGGGGTTTGGAGAAATAAAGAGTATAGTAAGAGTGCATGTGTATGTATAAAGGGTATTTCTTCACAGTCTTGAGGTGAGGAAGTAGAAGAAAATCAAAATGAGACAGAAATGGACAGAATTGTTACAGAAATGAGAAATTTCCTATGCTGGTTTGTTCTGAGCAAGTGAAATGTATTTCACACTTTTGTGTTGAGTTTGGAACAATTTGTATCTTCCTCATACTTTCATTTTTACATGATCAATATTTATGATGGGATTTTGCTATTTGTTTCATAAAATGTATATTTAAAGTATACATCAGTAATAATGGAAAAAATATTTTTAAAGCATAGGTGTGCATATAAAGTCCATTTAAAGTGTAGGTGTTAAGTATTTTATTCAGCTTGCTGGTTTTATCCACATATGAATACGTGTATGCATACATATGTAAAAGGTTAATGGATTGTCTGGATTTTCCAATATCACACTGTAAAGTTTCAAGCATATTTTAAGGCTCAGCATGTCTCTCATATTCTGTCCCAAAGCCATAGAGACGTCTTTGTCCAAAGATGTGTACACATTTATGGAGGGTGTGAAGTTTTTTACAATTTCCTTGGCAACCTAACAATATTTACATCACCACAATTTTCTTATGCAATAAACATTTGCTGTTCAGCTGGCTAGGACATCCCTGATCTCTTCCTTTGAGCTGTGTGACTGGGATAACCCAGGTTTTTGAACTGTTGTTTTCTGGGCATACGCATGGACAAAGGACCTGTTGGGTCCTGTAAATGTTTTTTTTTTTTATTTCATGGAAATGCAAGCAAGAATTCTTTGTGGTCCCAGAGAAGATTTCCCTGGCAAAGTACTAATTCTGTGGCTTTTCTTGCTGCTATTTCAAATTTCCTGAAGAAATCTTCCCAAGTCCTTCGAAGTCTTTTTCCTCATTTGCTGTGAGCTGGTTCAGTTTTTCACTCATGCAGCTTTTCTGCTTTTCAGAGTTAGCTCTTTGAAATCCAGATATTGCTGGCATTTGTAACTAATCATGGTACATAATCATAGTACATCATCAAAAGAGGGTACCCATGTCAAAGGAGGGAATTCTTGTTCAGCTTGCACAAGAACAGATATGTGCGTTCGAAAGAGCCTTTCAGGTGTGAGTGCACCAAGGCTGTAAAATTTCTCTTCTACCTTATTCAGGATCCAGACTGGATCCTGCTGGTGCAGGACCCACCTTCCTCCTCTGCAGGATGGTACTTATATTTGTAGTCTCCAGTGGAAACGGGAGACATTAGGGAGGCCTGGAATGTAAATAAATAAATAAAAAAACCCCAATAAAATATAATAACAATAACAACAATGACAACAACAATGACGATGGATTATTATTCTTAGAAAAAAAGGATTTGTTTAGAAATTGGAAAATTACTAGTCAGTGGAGTTTCCTCAAAAGCTAACCCTCCTTTCTTTGGCTTGGGAATGCTGTTTATTTTATTTGAATGTTGTTTATTTTATTTTAAATGGTTCGTGTAAGCCTGAATTGTAATGTAGATAAGAGCTCTAGAAATTCATAGTTCTGCTGTGAGCGTTAGCTTGTCCCTTTATGGATATGTGTTATTGACCACACAGTACCATGGCCTTCAACTTCTGTATCGGATTTTTTCTTGGTCTGGGTACCAGCGGCAGGACCGAAGAAAATAGCATGAAGCTGTGTCAGGGGCAGTTTAGATTAGGTGTTAGGAAAAGGTTCTTCATCCAGAGAGTGATTGAGCACTAGAACAGGCTCCCCAGGGAAGTGGTCAGAGCACCAAGCCTGGCAGAGTTCAAGAAGCGTTTGGCACATGGCGTGATTGTTGGGGCTGTTCTGTGCAGGGCCAGGAGCTGGACTTCAATGGTGCTTGTGGATTCCTTCCAACTCAGGATACTCTGTGATTCTATGATTCTGTAATCACCTATGCTCTGAAGGAAAAGGCAGTAAATTATGCTTTCTGGATGGAAAATTTTTCATTTTCTGAGACACACAAGAGGCTGAGGGGTACCTCAGCTGGCAGAGTAATGATACTGGGGATTGCAGGACGCCACATGCACGCCAATACGAGATGACATTCGCAGAGGAGGGTGGGCTGCAGCGTCTGCCGAGGCCAGCGGGCCGAGCGGGAGCGGCCGCGGGAGGGCGGCAGAGCCTCAGGAACGGAGCGGAGCCGCTGCCCCGTCCTGCTGCGCCTCCAGAGCTGCTGTGCCTGCCACGTATTTGGAAAACAAATCCTGCAACAACACGAGCTAGTCAGAGGGGTCAGCATGTCTCACAGTCATAATAGCAGACGAACGCTATTATGAACACAGACTCGCTTCTGCTCTTACTTCCATGGGTCATTCTTTAATTATTTGTACTGTGTCCGTCCAGATTAGACTGTAAGGTCCTTGGGGTAGGGACTTGTCTAAACGATGTATTGCTGTGCACACCTATGACACTGTGCAAATAATTAACTGCTGTAATTATCGTGCTTGTAAAGCACCCTCACTTGACATTGCTACTGGGCAGTCACTGTCATTTAAATATGACTGTCAACCAGACTAGGACCTTGAGTTTAAAACTGGAGGGAGGCTAAGCCCTGATTCACTAACATAGTCTATTGCTTTTAAATGTTTGTAGAAATAAACCGAAATTTTACCCATTAAAGTTTTCCTTAAGTGCTTCCTGGATGAGAATGACCAAACTCCCTGGAGACTAATGCTCTCCAATGGAGAGCATCTGGGAGAACCAGGTTCTAGCCCTTGCTCCACTAAATATTTAAACCAGAAGGAAATGCATTAGCAAGGGCTCTTGTGAGATCTTGGCAAGTTTTTAATCTATTTCATCATCTTTCAAGATGTTCATCAGTAGCAGATGAGGTTTCTAGGGGCCATGGCCTTCCACAGAGGTTTACCTCCCTCCATGTACTGTCATGATGCTCAGTGTATGGAACGGGACATCTTGGCTTTCAGGAATAGTACAAATTGGAAGCCATGAACAGTCTGTGTCTCACCTGGCTCTAGAAGAGCTGCTTGGGGTGTCCTCTGTCCCTCTTCCTGGCTCCCAAAGTGATGCAGTCCGCCTGAATATACATAGAACTTGCCAGAGCTGTATGCTTCCTACCAGACAGAGTAAACACATGAGGAACAAATGCTTTTCTTTCACAGACAAGGACAGGTAAAAGATCACAAAGTATTAAGGAAGGAGATTAAAGCAATCAAGAAGCACTACCAAAGCTCTGCTCCTACTACCTGAGTTTTTGAGGTACACTTGGGAACTTCTTCAGTACATTGCCTTCCCAATAGTGGCAGCTCTGCAGAGGAGCCAGCTCTTGTTCAAAGGGGTTATTTTTGCAGTACAGGAGTCCTGAGCTCTTGCAGGGAGATAACAGAGGACTGCTGGTTGGTAAAGGTCACTGTCAACAGAGTAAATGTGCAAAAGTAACTTTATACCTAGAATGTGCAGGGATCAAACAGGATTAACATTGCAGAAAACTAACACAGGCATGTGTGTGCTTGTGTGTGTAAAGCTTCATCTCATGATTTCAGGGAAAGAGTGGTGTTTGCTCCAGAAATCACACTGGCGCCAGCAGGAGCTGGTCTGGCTGCATCAGGGTTACAGTTAACAGCTTGAAACCAGCACCTAAAGCAGTGGGCAAGCTACTGATCTGAAGGGGGTAATTTAGGGCTGCTGATCCCACTGCTTCCTCAGTTATTTGCTTTCTTTATCTCCAGTGGCTAATGCAACACCCAACCAGCCCCTAAAAGGAGGAAACAGCCCAGGTCACTCTCGTTGCAGCTGAGCACCTCAAATGCTTAACTGGCTCCTTTTACTTCTTTCCTTCATGCATTTTGCCTTCTTGGCTATGCACTGAGGTACCTTCAAAAGGGGGAATAGACTAGGATCACATCTGGTTTATTCACTGCTCTGTGCTGAGACCCATACCCCTCTTTGCTTGAATCGGCCCTAGGCATCTGCCTTAGTGCCCTTTGACTACCTGGGGCTTGCCATGAGCATTTTTTGCACCACAGGTCCAGCAGAGGGTCTATTCTGGCACCAAGAAGACCATGCCCTACACTTTAGATAGGAACTTAGATGCTACATCAGTCATCCTGCATGTACATGATGCTCTACTGACAATTTCAGGCTGAAGAGATCATGTGTATATATATAGGCACTTAATTCAAAAAGGCCAGTGAGCCTGTTTTTGCACATTGGTACCAAACAGGCTTTGTAACATGGCTGTGCTCAAGCTTTTCAGCTCTCCTGGGAAGCAGGTTGGTGTTACTCCCATTTTAAAAACAAAGGCTAGTTGACTTTCTCTCAAGGGCTACAGTAGAAAACAGATATGCAGAGAACAGAGTTGTGTGCTGTCCTCAGGCTGTGCTGCCCCACTTTGGCATTCCCTCTGTGTCAAGGCCAGAGGCCAAGCTCTGCAGCTCTCCCAAGCACATCTGCAGTGCTATTGAATTCAACAGCATCAAACACTCAGGAGAGCAGAATTTGGTCTCAAATATGCAAAAGATTTAAATGGGTGATTTGACACACCATGACAAGAGAGGGACTTCTGAAGAGTAACAAAAGGTTGTGAAATTGCTAAGGGATTAAGTTGTTTGAATCATTGTTCCAGCTTTATTAAAAAAAGGTATAAATTCATTTCAGTTCTTAGCGGATTTCAAGCTGCCAATTTCTGAGCTTTCACAGCCTTTGATGTGATTCCAGCTTTCTATGATGTAAGTGGATTATTTTTTCCTTAATTCTGAAGAGGCCATTTCCCTCCCAGCCCCCTCCAGAAAAATGTCGCAACAATCAGACTCTAACCAAACACTGATTTTTGGTTAATTGTGGATGTTAACCCACTCTCTGCAGTGGTCTATTTTTCATATACTTTTCAAGACTTGAGTAGAAGGGGAAGATACCAGTGGTAAACCACTATTTTAAATAACAATGATCCTAAAACACACAATAGGCCGTGCACTTCAGTTCCAAACTGCATACATAAAGAACAGTTAATCCATCCTTTAAATACAGCCAAGTTTGGGGTGGAATATGGCAGCTTTTTAGCATACAGAGCAGCAAAACACAATTTAAGCTGCAGCATGAGGAATAGTTTATCCAACAACAAGCAAAAGGGAAATGTAGACAGGAAGAATGCAATTATATACCTGGACTTAATTCAAGACACCTGAGCTGACATTTCTAGCTGAAACAGCCCCAGAAGCCTTAAATCAGGGCAAACAGTCAAGACTGTGCACCTTGTGCAGTGGCAGAGACTTCCAGTGGTACCAGGGTGCTTCCCGCTGACGTGGATAAGCTGGATCACTGCAGGTTCAGAGGAAGACATCTGCCTATTGAATTAGCAGTGTAACAGCCTGTACATTTCTTGCATAGTAATCCTTCTGACAAGAATAATACACCATGTGAAAATTGCTGAAATCACTGCTCAGACAAGTGTGGCTGAAGATATTTATGTATATCTGGGTCCAAAAATAATACAGCTTTAAACAGAGGATTGCAATGACAAATTTGATATTTTATCCCTTTTAGACAGGTTGTACTTCCTTATGGGGCATGCACACCTTTTAAGTCACAGTGGTAAACAATGTCCTGAAGAATCTGGGGGAGATCCAGGAGCAGGAAGATGAAGAAAGCTTCCTATGGGTACTAAGGAAGAATGACCGTTCTGTGATGGGGCTATGGGGACGTGGACATACATCCCTTTTTGGTGACTGTCACGCACTGCAATGTATCGTACCTCGAGCAGGAACTTAGCTATTGTCCAACATAAAGAGTGGTTTTATTTTGCAATGCAGCATAATCCTATAGACTAAACTCTTAGAGTAGACCATCTCGTTTTCCTTGCATAGCACTGTCTACTATCATGGCAGAGATGTGGAGAATTTGGTTTCTCCAGTATGAGCTTGCTTGCAGGTGTGCTGAAGATCATCTGGTGCTGCTTTGGAAGTTTTTATTTTTACAGTCTTCTGTGCTATAACCGGCATCTTTAGGCTTTCTGAATTAATTACAGTGTTGCTCTCAGAAGCAAAACAGTGGTTTGTAAATTTGTATGTTTAGATCTTTTAAATACCTTATCAGAAGGTTTTAATGAGCAATCATAACCAGTCTCATTACTTGAGACCCACAAGTGATTCTTCCTTGATTGCTTTGTTAGTAGAATTCAATACACAGGCTGTGAAACTGATACTGCTGTGATAAATATATGCCTAATTTTGGGGTGGCTATGAATTTGTTGTAAGGAAAATGTTTTCTCTGGATAAGACTTAAATGAAAGAGCTCAAAAGTTGAACAGATAGAAATTAATTTGTATACTCCAGACCTAAATTTTACAGGCAATTGAAATCAGAAATTTTGTGCTAACTGTGTTCAGCAGTTACCTTCAGGACGTTTTCCCTTGGGAAAAAAGCTTGTTTATTCTATCCTCCATTATGCACTAGATGGCACTGTTTCATAGCTTGTGGACCTGTTGCTTATTGTGCAAGTGAGTTTATTACTGTGGGAGGAAAGTTAGTGCTAGGATAGTTGCTACATTGGAAATACTGATAAACAAACCCAACATCTTTCACTGGATCTGATTGCTGTCGTTTAATATTCACACTGGCTCAAAGCAAAATACCGAAACAACACTTGGTTACGGATTTTGGCCTGGAATCTGGAAACAAGGCCCACAGCTTTACATTACACCAACTAAACCAAAATCAACTCATATTTTAGGAGGTTTATGTGGATTTTGAATCCTTGCAAGCCCCTGGTCTGAGCAGTCCTGGAAGCCATGCAGGAGCATCATGCCAGAGACAAGGGAACCTTATAGGCATGCATATATACACTGTATACACTCAGACACTAACTCACTATTGTCACCAGGCCCTGGATTTGGCCTAAAATACACAGCATAAACATGGTCTGCCCGACTTAGTAACTTCATCGCTCTCATCTGTAAAATGAGGATTTCTCCTTTTTTCCCCTCTTATTGGATTAAGCTGTAAATCATAGCTATGCTCAAGTTTCCCTATTTTTGGCTGGGGCCTCAAGGCTGCTATTACTATGAATAATGCTATGTCTTCATAATGTATTATGGTCCCAAAATAGCAATGACTATATAGGAAACTGTGTCCCAGGATAATACCAGTATGGTTTTTACGGTCCAAGTGGATATTAATTTGAGTAATATTAAGGTTCCCCTTGCAGAACAGCAGACACTAGTTGTTTAAATTTGGGTGTTACACTCTATATACCTGAACACAGAATAAGTCTGAGTTGCTCATTACTCCGTTGCACACACTTACTGCTAATGTCACTTATGGGATTGTGAGAGGACGAGAGTAAGATCCAGCTATTTGATTTTTTTGCTATGACACAAAAAAACTTTTGGTGTCTCTGGTTTGCCAGTTCACATTCATTTGCAGTCCTAGGGTTTGAAATTGGCGGTCCACCAGTGTTGGACAAAGGCAGTAACCCAGTGAACCACCAAAGCACTCTTGAGAATCAGTTTGCAAGCATTTTTGGGAATGTCAGATCTGTTTTCTCTCTCACAAAAGCATTTCAACTTGGTTTTGTTCACTAGGTGGCACAAATGCATAAGAGATTGATTTGGAAAAGTTTTCTCTGCAATTTTACTGTTGATGTTCTAAAATGCATCCAGGGTAATTTTGAACATGTTTCAAGAGTGATTTAGGCTCCAAAGTTCATTTTTGAAGAAAGACCCACAGTGATATGTTCACTGGGGACAAGCCAGTGCACCAAGCCTCAGTCATCTGAGCAATGTTTCTTCCAGTGCCTTGACACAACCAGCTGCATTCATATCCTCCAGGATGAACTGGTTGTATGAAAGACTCTCCTTCCCTTCTTGGTCTTTTCCCAGGTTACAGAACCAGGGGAAGAAAAATTTTTACTAGACCAACACTAGTGTAAAGATAGTAATACATAATTTTTTTAGTCAGAGAGGCAAAATGCTTAGTAAAAACTTTAAATTTTCTCAGCTTTTATATTCCCATCCACTTTTAAAAATATAATGCATGCTCATATTAAGTTATTGGGACTTTATCTCCCACCCCTGACACATTCAGGAGTAGAATTTTTAGGAAGATGCATTTCTTGACCCTTCTTTTCTTGAGTACTTTTGCCAAGTGAAAACTTCAAAATAGAAAATAACCATCTAAAAAGAAAGAGAAATTTAGTTTTCCAGTTTCAGTGAGGAAGTTGGATGCACTAGGGAGCTAAATTTATTATTATTATAAGTTTTTTAAAAAATTAAAATGTTCAATGCTGAAAAAATTCCCATAAATTCTGATCATGGAGGAAAAAAGTGAAGAAAGACCTAGCTGGGCAGCAGAAAAGGTGTAAACTGGACAGCGTATTTTAAGAAATACTGGTAGATGAAACAGATGGTAGCCATGT